ATCTTATTCCTCGTCGATAAAGCTGATACACCACGAATTTACATATTCATATGAAGTTATATAAAGCCTTGATTGCGCCAACTAAATAGAATGAACAATTGAACGGAATAATAAAATTAATTAACTCGTTTATATTTCTGGTGAATGTCATCTGGTGCATGCAAATGAGTCATTATTAATTTCTATCCTATGCGAGCAATAAAATTTGCCTTCGATCATCGTCTCTCAACGATTCGATTACGTAATTCAGTCTAATGATGATAACTTTATATCGATAATAGATCAGCCATATCAGTTGGATAGAAAGTTATTAAATTGAAGCCATAACGATTGATTTTGGCAATTATATATTTGAAATAAGCTTTCGAATTTGATCGAGTCGTTCAATAGAACAATTTTCTTAATAATTAATTATAATTGTGAAATGTCAAACGAAGTTCATGAGTATAATATCATATTACATAAGCTTTACAATCAAAGATAATTAATATTTAATCTTACGTTTATATACTTTAATTATCTTTTTACGATATCCTTGCACAGATGTTAAACATTAAAATGTGTAATATAAATTGTTATACATTCTAATTTTCACATTTACACGCTTTTACCCATGATTATTTATATTTAGATTGAACTTTTTTATATTTGCATAAAATACAATGATAAAACGAAAATTAAATAAAATTATTCTGTAAAAAGCAATTTTTTTAGTTAGTAAACAAGTAGAACACAAAGATATGGAAAATAACTATAAATATTGCCGATGTATCTATCTTTCTCATTCGCCTGAATTTCGGTTTTCATGTTCCAATTTTCACTTTCGTTCCAGTTTCTGAAATATAAATCTGTTTTACCACTACTTAAATACTTATTTTCTACAAATGGTATATACACTGTTATATGTATGTGTTAATTCGGGCGTAAATAATTCTAAACATTATCACGTTTTAGCATGTTTCATATTCACTCTTCAGTGAATAGTATTTTATAAATATTTCAAATAATTATTTTAATAAAAATATATACGTATCCAATGTGATATCATACTATTGAAATAATTTTTCCAATGATCTTTAAATAATATCGTAACGACTTTCTATCCATATTATGGAAATAACATTGTCATTAGTGAATATTAAGCTGAATTTTCAAAATTCATCATAACTAATAATAAAAAATCTTCTTTTTAATGAAATAAAAATAAAACTAATTTTAACTACATTATCCTCTTATGTAACATTACAACGACACGAAAATTTTTCAAGTGGCTACAAACTAGCAAAAAACCTTTCAAATATACAAATATCACAGTAAAGTTGAAATTGGAATTTCTCTAAATTATCATGCATAGTTTCTGTAAATAATGATACATATCTTTAAATTGCCTCCAACTTCGTTTATATATCGATAAAAGATAAAAATAATTTCTGACATATTTTAAATAGTTTCAATGTTAGCTCAGTTTCTACGAAAATATTGGTTTTCAGCACAATAAGCGAGTAAGATATTCTTAGTATTTCTCCCATTTTAAATAAATTCTATCGCTTCAGCTTATTAAATGGCGTACACAACGATTTTAGAATTTTCAGATCCTTTGAGATCTAGCCTTTGTACATAAAATTCTTCGAAGTTTTTCATATTATAGTTGTCAACTGAAATTTTGTATATTAAAATCATAACTAATTAATTTTATTTTAAATTACCTAAATTCAATTTTCTTTACTTTAAATGTGAATGTAATCATTGGCAATTTTTCGTTTTTTTTTTATTCTTTTATATCCCAAGAGATACAGAAACATAAAAAATTAATATAATACTTGAGAAGTCGTATAAGTAGTTATGGAACTGTAATTTATAAGACCTAATGTAAGTAATGATAGTTTTAATAATCAAATCATAGGCTTTATTAATTTTATATTAATAATTTATATATATATATATATATATATATGTATATATATACATATGTATGTAAGTTCATTATAAATTGTTGAGTAATAAATTAACCTGACCTGTCGTTTGTCACGTTATTCTGTATTTTTCTATCAGATTTAGATAAAAACTAATTCATTGCGAATAACGCAACGAAAAAGGAAAAAATTACTGAATATTACAATTTTAAGTTATTAATAATAGTACGCTAATAATAAGTTATTAAAAATAACCATATGGTGATGTATATATTGATAATTAAGGAAGAGTAAGAAATATAGCGACAAAAATACGTTAACTGACGTACAACTGCAGGTTTTATTTATATAAAAAAAAAAAAAAAAAAAAAAAAAAAAAAAAAAAAAAAAAAAAAAAAATTTTTTAAATTAACATTACCTTTATCTGATATTTTGTCTACAATTTCTGATGTTAATTTAAAATTGTTAAAAATTTCGTACTTCGACATTTAAATTACTATGCTAAAATTCACACGCAGAAATATATTAAAATATTGGCAACTAATTATTTACCATCGTGAATTAATCCCGAAAATGTCAAAAATTTTCCACGACAGTCATTAGCCATAACCCGTTAAAAAAAACTGCTCAGTTAAAATTCATTTGCTAGCTCACGTCTTATCGTTGTAACGGAAGTGCTCGAAAAGTAATAGGAAAATAAAGTTAAAAATTAATTATTTCTTATTTCAGGAAAACTGACGAGACAGTTATGTCGAGGAAAGGTGGGGTTGTGCTAAAAGTACCGGGTACGCAATCGTATCCCTGAAGCTGCGGTCATCGAGTTGTCAAATGTCGGGGCTTGCAATTCAGCCGGCGGACCTCGTCTCTTGTCCTCGAATCGCTCATTATCTCTCTCCGTTTCGCAATTAAAGCATCGAATGGGCCCGCCTCGCTCGACGCTCGCGTCCTCGTCACTTGGCTCTCACCTCGATATTTCTCAAAGTTCGCGGTCCGCTCATGGCACTCGGGCCATTTAATCTCGGGCGGCAGAGACAGCCGAGACGCGCTGCCGGTTGGATTGCTGCTCGTATGCGCCCGCGAAACGCCTGCCGTGACCTTGGGGATTCCGCAAGGCCGAGCGAGGATAAGGAGCCCCCGGGGCTCATGACGTGCTCCCGGCTGCAGTGGCTACACCGCGAGGGGCTCCGAAGGTGGACGAAAGCGCGCGCTTGCATTAATCGCGCGAGCCGAAGGAAGTGAGTGAGCAATGTGTGTGGGAGCAGCCAAGGCCGTGGCAATAACCTGGCGACGATGGCACCCATGAAATTACGTACTATCGACTCGCGACTTTATTATTAATGCCCCTGGAAGTCCTGAGCACGGGAACAGGTTAAGGATGACGTGTCGCGCACTTTTTCTCGCTCCTGGGTCCTTGACTTTCGAGGGTTGTGCAGTCGTCCGGGGTTCCCGACCGCTCTCATACTACAATTTACCGCTACCACCGCGATTTATCACAACTACTACTGCCACTGTTACTATCACTATCAGTACGACTACTACGACCAGTACCACTACTACTATTACTACGGCTACTTGTACTATTACTGATACTACTACTACCTACTACTACTACTACTACTACTACTACTACTACTACTACTACTACTACTACTACTACTACTACTACTACTACTAACTACTACTACTACTACTACACTACTATTACTACTACCGCCTCTATCTTTTATTTTTACTATTGTTGTTGCTGTTGCTGTTATTAGTGTTATTATCATTTCCATTATCGTCATCATCATAATTGTCATTTACATTATTATCGTGTTTTAAAAATGTCAACTGAGAAATTCTCGTCATCAAAATATTTTTAATGACAATTGCAAATAGAATTGGTTTTAAGTATACTTTCGTGAGTAATTCGAGATGAATGAATTATGGTAACCAATCAAGGACACAACAATTTGCGTAATTTTTCGTTGAATAAAAGTACTTAGTGTTTTAAATTCATAGTATTTCTTTTATGATTTATAAATACGAATATAAACAGATTGTTAATTAAAATACTTTAATGATTCATTTTATTTACAAAATCATAACTATTCAATATTAGTTTTGAAATTAAAGGATTGCATCGTTTGAGCTTAAATTTTACGCAACTGCCAAAGTACTAAAAACTCAATTAACTCAAATTAGTAAATAGATATAAATTTACGTGGCAGATTACCTTGAAAATTGTATAATTTTAATTTTCAATCCCTCTTATATAATAACATGAAAAACTTTGCATTTTCATTGAATTAACTTGTAGATTTCGAGGCTACAATATCATCCAAATAAATAAGCACATTAATTATTATCAGATTAGACAATTATGTATGTTAAAGACTTATTGATATATTTATTTAAACTGTCGATTGTACCTCGAGGTTTGTAATTATTATTAGCACGACGTACGCATACACTTAATAACAATTTTATTGACGAAGCGTCATGGTGTAGAAAAAAGAATGCACAACAATACATTATAACTCATGGGAAAAAAGCACGTATTTGTGAAATGTCAAATTATTAGCCTACATACATAGTATGTACATACGTTATAATACATACGTTATCGTTACGTCATTGGTATATGCCAAAGCACGTGAAGTTCGATATTCCCCCCCTCCCCCCCAAAATTTGGCTCTAATGAGCTCATCGGAAAGCACAAATGTCCTGTTAACCGTAAAGTGAATTCTCCGATGAGAAGGCTCAATGTCGAATAGAATTTTTATTCATTAAGTGTAATCTTTATCGGCAGGTGTTGATAAACGCTTATCACCATCTCGCCAGCAAAGTCTGTATTTCGCAGTCTCATTGAAAAGAAAATCCTCGTGAAATACAGGTGTGATTAATTTTCAGCTCGGCGGTCCATCACCGATGATCCAGGACCTCGCTCTTCAGCACCTCGGGCAGGAGCGTCAACTCAGGGCAAAAGTGTCAACCCCACCTCCATACTCATCTCCAGGCGGTCGCGCGATTCGGTCGCGGAGCGCGAACTCTCGCTTAGCCGTGGCGAGGAGCAGCGCTCTGCGTTGGCGGGGGGCGTGGAGCGGTGCGAGGGTCGCGGACGCGTCTCGTAGTGGGGGCGATGGAGAACGGGCGTCGGGGGCGCAGCGCCTCCCGCGCGTCCTCCACCACCTCCTCCAGCCTCGAGGTGCGCTGCGCGTGCCAGTACTATAGGAGCGACTCGCTGCTGCCGGAGCGGAGCGCACTCGCGACGGTGAGGCCGGCCCCGAGGCAGACAGCTATCAGGATGGTACAGACACCGCCGGCCGGCAGGAGACAGCCGGTACGATGCGGGTGAGTTTTTGAACGCGACGCGTATCGACCCGCCGGGGGCGCGCGAGCGCCCCTTCCAAGGACGAGCGCGCACTCGGCGGGACGAGGGCGGCCGCAATCATCCTGTAATCACGGCCATCCATGAGGAGGACTAAGAGGGTTACCTTTCGGTAAGACGAGAAGGACGTTGGTCCTACCAACGTTGGCCTTTACCGACCCCCGGCTAGTGATCATCATTTGTCGCGTTGCATAAGATCCTCGCGGCTAGGCCTCGTAAGGAGGCTGCTGCCGCCGCCGCCGCTGTCGCCGTCGTCACTACCGTCGTCTCATAAGTGGGACTGAGATAAATGCACTCTCGTGGGAGATTTTTTGTGCATTGGCGATGGGAGAGCGACTAGGTCGAGATTACTGGGACTCTCCGTGCGCTCGTCTGACATTGTGATTCACAAGAGCCGTGAATATTCATAATCGAAGCACGTGATAGTAAATCGTGGCCACCTACGCAGTGCGCGTGGTTGGTTACCGTCGTCCAATGTTTTATTCATTCGTGCCAGTTTAGTGCGAATAGAAAAAGAAAACGCGCGTTTCAGCGGTAAAGTGATAAAGTGCCTTTGTGAAGACGTCGTAAAAAATTTATGTGGAAGATGTCCGTTTTAGTTATGTAGTCTTAATTTAGAGAGGTTAAAACTGCTTGACTGCTTGACATGCCACAGCTATGTACAACGACACTTTTATCATTATCATTATTATTGTTAAAGTTAAAGATCCGAGGCTCGCGCACATAATCGCGTAAATAAACGATATAATAAATTTTCATGACGTTTAATCGGTTTTTGCTAATACAAGTGAATGGATCTTCGAGCCATGGAAATGTGCGGCTACTTAGAGTCCACGGCTGAAACCTCTTTATCGCGCATTATTTGACGAGGTCGCAGGAATTAGTTTATCTCGTTGAACGCGGCTCCCATGTGGTTCTCGGTGCGTCAAAGTAATTAAGCGCAAAAAATAATTGCTCATGGTACGCTCGTTTCAATGGTCAAGAGCATCGTCCGATATAGATGCTACGACTGTCGGCATAACCATTAGCTTGTATTTAACGATAAAGTTACGCTGTCTTTTCCATATGGTCGTATAGCATAAATGAAAATGTATTTTCAGTCACACATCCGTAACTATCGACTCCGGCTATTATAACCTCGGATAGCTAAAAGAATTATCGACACTCAGCTGTACATACCGCGACACTAAATATATTCACACGGAATACGCCGAGTGGCTGCATCGCCGTAATGCCTATCGTTCTATTTCCAATGAACTATTTCACAAGGAAGCAACGAGCGAAAAGGAAGGAAAGAAAGAAGGAAGAGTATAGAGAGTAGAGAGCTTAATAGCTGGGGAGAGAGGAGAAAGGGAGAGAGCGCACCTAGCGTAGCGTCGCATCCACTCTAAAATTAACCGGGAAAATAAATAGTTAAGCCGGGGCTCGGTGGTGAGCCGCCAGATTCACGGCCAATAATTGGGCCGCTTACCTTGCCCTTTTTTTCCTTCTCTACGACGATGCTTTCTCCTCCGTCTGGGCGGGTTTTTCGCGCCTGCGAGCCTCCCCTCTCTGCCCGAGCGACACCTCGCGCGATATTAGACAGAGAGGTCGCTTGCGTATTGCATTTAGTGATGAGGTAAATGCCGGTGGCTGCGTAAGTGCGTTTGACCACCGCGGACTATTTAAGGTCCGCTCGGCTTGGCTATAGATAGAACCGGGCAGATCTCGAGCGGTGGCCCGGTCCAGTGTCGCGGATCGTTCGACGTCTCTCTCTCTCTCTCTCTCTCTCTCTTTCTCTCTCTCTCTCTCTCTCCTCTCTCTCTCTCTCTCTCTCTCTCTTTCTCTCTCTCTCTCTCTCTCCCTCTCTCCCTCTCTCTATCTACCTCTCTCTATCTCTCTCTCTCTCTCTCTCTCTCTATCTGGGTTGCCTCGGTCTTTTTTATTCGCGTGCTCGCTCTCGTGAGCGACTTATCTATGACGGCTCGCCGATGCGCATTTCTTACTCGGCCGATGTCTTGGAATACGAGCGCGACCGGACGATCTCTGCAAAAAGTATTCGTGGAAAAGGATTGCGAATTATATCACGACATTCAATGAAGCGCAACGGCTAAAGAAAGAATTATTTTTATCCCTAATGATAAATTGCATGCTCTACATGCCATTCTTATCTTCTAGCTAGGCATTCTTTTTTTTATTACAATTACAATTATTTTTTCCGAAATAAACCTTAGTCGCGGCATAAATCTATCATTCCATGTAGTTAATGCTTTCTTAGCTCAATGATTACTTGCTAAAATTATCAAACATTTATATTATGTTACTATTCAACTTCTCTTCGCAATATATTCAATTACAGATAGTTTATATTAAAGGAAGCATACTGAAGCTCTGAACTATTATTTAAAATTTACTATTGTTTACCATAACGAATTACAGTATTATATATCATGAATTATGTATAGCTGCCGCGTACAAGACGCCCATAAACGGAGAATCTATAATATATCATTCCTTACTTAAAATGTAGGTCAGTTGGACATTGAAGACCAATTTAATAATGTAAATCGGATGTTTTAAATATTAATGATTTATAAATCACTTGTAGTGTAAAATACAAAAATATCCGTAATATTGTAGATTTTACTCTACTAATATCCACTTGAAACGTATGAAAATTATATAAGAGGCAAATAAAAAAAATAGTATTCGAAATAATTGAAAATTTCATTATAATTATTATGCGACCGTTTTTTTTTGTGAGATTTCTAAATCTCTTCTTAATAAAGTTTTTTTTAATTCTCATAAAAATGCATTATAATGTAGGATTACAACAGGTGAAATATACCAAAGACAAATGTATAGGTGTTTTATGACAATAATAATTTCTTTATCAAAAAAAAAAGCTCATTTATACAATATTTTGTTTATGGAATATTTTACAATTTAATATATTAAGTTTTTAATATATACAATTAGCTTGAAAAGTAATGGATTGAAAAATATGAGAAAAAATAATGTTATTTTTAGAATCATGTAAATGAGTCACTACGGAATAAATCCATTTTTAAAAAATGAAAAAATTATCCTCTTATTAACAAGAGTTAATTAAATTAAATCTATCATAATGTTACAAATATATATATATATATATATATATATATATATATGAATTAGAAAACTAATTATAAGTTTTTATTATTATAATTTCATGTAAATGTATATTATCTAGAAAATTTTTCACTTGTAACGGACTCATTATTTAGCAATATATTTTCACAGATTTTGAAACTAATTGCTCATTAGTATTATATAAACTTAAAACTTAAATAATATTAATCGATACAACGAAGTTATAATTATTGCATGACAGCTCTTACAGTCTATTTTCTCGACTTCATTTTTAATTAAATTATTAAAATTATTTGTAAAATATTAATGACCATTCAATATTATGTAATATCAATTAGATAATATAATTTACGACTGTTTTACATTATTCTCGTAAGGATATTGTAACAATGTCAGCTCGTATATTAATTAGAATTTCTATTTTCGGTAATTGGACGAATTAATGTACTATCAGAGACAGATTTTTTATTCAATAAACTTTCACAAATATTTTCCATTTGTTAATTAAACAAACCAAATTTTCGTATTTTTTTTAAGTTTAGAAATTCGGAAAATTGTAACAAAATAAAAGTCATGTAATTATTAAAATATAATTATTAAGCTGATTCTAGTTAAAATATTAATTTCGATTTTTTTTTCTTTTTAAGAATTTTAAAAATTTTCATATATATATATAATGTATCATTATATGGAAAGTTTACGTAAATGTTGAAAAATTTGTTTTATATCAATTTATTTGAGACTGAATTTTCTCATTTTTAATTGTTCATAATGCGAAAACTGAGTGAAGTTACAAAACGTCAAATGTTGCGATGACAATTAATTGGGTGAATTATTTATGAAAATGACACGGGCATAAACAGTCCAGTAAAATGAATTTACATCTACATATTCATTTATTATCTTTATAAAATATAATTGTATTTATATATTTTTCATTTCCACTACGAGTTTGTTAGATAATGTTTTTTTTTTTTTTGGATTAACGCAAATCATGTGTATCATAGTAGACAATTTGAAAAACTTTAGTCTAAAAAAAGCTAATCGTCAAATTATTCAATAAATAAAGTTTTCTGGTATTAAAGTAGTAATAAACTGTGAAATAAATACTATGCGTAGAGTACATAAAATTAATACAATAATTTTATATGACCTTTAATCTAGTTTTTTCATTTTGATTATACATTCGTAGATTTAAGGTAGTTTTATCTAAATATTATTTAATTCAATGACAAATTAGTTAAATTAGACAAAATAGTTAACAGAATTTTACTAAATAAATACATATTTTGCAATGTATAAAATATGTTTTATATATAATAAATGGATTTGCGAATGCTAAAATGTAATGTAATTCTGATAATAGTGACTGTCATTTATATTCTCAATATTATTGCTTTAAAAATATAGTGAATTATCTATGTTTTAATTCATAACTTTCAATACCAACTTCATTAAAATAATAGGCTAATAATTCTCAACCACTATTTAATTATTTCAAAATTATTGTACACTAGACGCTGTATTCTCGAGTAAACTTAGAATTAGCTTTTTGAATGACATCATACTTTAACGTTCGCACGTTGATTATTTATATAATCAATAGAAGAAACGAATATTAAAATTGTATATAAACTTCGAGATTAAGTATATAAATTTTTTCTGATGAAATATTTTGATTATAGTTAAGCGAATTATAATTATAAACATAAGCTTCTCTTAGCTCTCAGCCAATAAAATGTCAACTATTTCGCACAAAATTCGTTATAATTCAAAATCTCACCAGAATGTATATTCCTTTAAAAAAAACTCACGTTCACGCGTTCCTGTACTGTAGCCGCACATACTCGACATTACGTAATATGAAATACGCAAAAAGAACTATAATTTGAAATAAGATATAATTCCAAGCGTGTTAATCGTACAAACATGCAAATGCAAGTCGTGTATATTACGTATAATTACAGCTGCAATCTTAAAAAAGAAAAATGTAAAAGAATAAAGATGACAAATAAAGAAAAGCAGAGAAAATACCATAAGTTCATTCTAAGATAACTTGCGTTTCTTAGGGATCATGACTACGAGCCCATCGGCACTCCAGCTTTGCGGATGGCGATCTCCCAGAACTCGATGTCATCCCGACTAGCTGCTCCCGTGGTCAAGATCACGGATACGGATATGGTTCCGGTTGCTGACAGCGATGACAGTATCGAGGATCGCTACCGCTTCAAGGAACGCGCTCATATTCTGGAGGGTGACGTCGTCCTGCCACTCGACGGATGCATCGAGGACCACGCGATGCACAGTAGAAATCTGGGTGACGAGACCGTCGATACGTCGGCCGACGAGCTCGACGGCGTCCAGCAGGGAAAACTCAATATCGATTCGCAAAATTCCCTGACAGTGGCAAATGAGTTGAGCACCAATGTCGCGACCCCGAACAATCAGGTGCGTCCAGCCTGATCCTGGGATGATGTGACATTTATCATTGAACTTCTTATTATGCGTATCACATGTATTTCAAATTTCTCTTCAAAATGATGGCAAATGGTCATAATTTGCAAATGAAACAATTGAGGAACAGTAAAGTTTGCTTAGATGCATGAACTACTTTTCGAGAATTCCATTGAACGTAAATACGAAACATGTATCTGATTATTTTCATTTTTTGTCAATAATATCTGACATCACTTCATATTATAAAATAAAAAACTTAATAGTAGATTAAAGTTAAGAATTGAAATTATTCAAATAATCATTGACTATACGGCTATTTACAAAATTTGTGAATTATAATTACGATGATAAGTTAAAATATTCAATGCAAAGTATTCTAATAAATATTGAATATTTACATTAATCAATACGTATGAAAAGATAATTAGATACAATGTAAATAATTATTGCTTAAGTAATAGGTTAATAGCAAAGATTGTGTAATCCAAGAATCAATGTAACGATTTGAGATTTAATTTATTGTTAACAGTAAAGTATAATTAACTATGTACTTATAAATAATAATAATATTTATTATAATAGCGGAAATTTTATTAAGAATTACATTCTGAGTAGCTTAATTTTTGCCTGAACTATAGATATGCAAATAAATTTATAATTTGAAGCCAAACGTAAAAATCAAAATAATTAATAGAAATTTTTACTTTCTTATGTAAACATTTATGTTTCAATTCATAAAACATACACTCGTAATTAAGTAATTGCATTAATAATGACATTATTCACGAGATTCTTAGAATCCGAAGGAACGTACTTTATGTACTTACTTACTTACCAGTACAGTTACTAAGGTTTTTTCAAATCTATTGTAACGTAGATTATTAATGGCAGTACATATTATTTTCTATATTAGTAAATAAAATAATATTCCTTAATATCACGAGAAGCATTTTAGCGAAATAATATTTGTATCGGATAATTTATTCTCCTTGCATCTTTATTACCTTTTCATTCTTTTTTTATTCTAGTATAATAAAAATATTAATCAAATTATAACACCAAATATTTATTTATACTTTTTATAATTCGAATCTTTTTATCATCTTTATGTTTTTTGCATAAAATGTTAAATAATATAAAATAAATTAAATGAATAATTTTCAGTTCCATAATAATTACAGATTATGTGATTTATGACGCTTTTCTTAAGATTTAGAACAATTGAAAAAATATTTTTTATTATATTATAACAATGTTTATTTACGTTTAAATAATAATAATAAAATAAGTTTATCCTTGTATATAATCGAACAATTCATGGAGAACAAGAACTATCTTCAAACATTAATCCTCTCAATGTTTCTTCTCATTGATCATCAGCAATCTTTTTATTTAAAGTTTTCTCCATTTGTCAATGAACTAAATATCTGAAATACATGACCCCTATATCTTTAAAGGAGGAGCTGTCAAAGCCGGAGAATGGCACTGGATTCCATGAGAAATTTAAAAATCAAGCTGGAAAAATTCGTTCTCGGCTACGTAGTATCCAAAAATCCACTTTCTCCATGCCCCACAGCCGACAAAAGGCAACGGAGACGACGTTGACGACGACGGTGCCTAATGCCAAGCCACCATCCTCACCCAGAATGGATCAAAAGGCCAGCAGGATTGAGCGCTTTCGTATGGCTCTTCCGGAAAGGCCGCGTTTCTCCCTCCCCGATAAGTCCAAGTTCCATTTGCCCGACAGATCCAAGTTCCATCTTCCCGATAGATCCAAATTCCATCTGCCAGAACGTCCGAAATTTAATTTGCCCGATAAATCGAAATTTCATATTAAGAAGCCGAACATTCAGTTGCCCAAGTCCTTGACACGCCCGCGAAGAACGGCCTCAGGACGAATTTCACAGGTAAGAATAATCTGCATTTAACGATTAATTAATTAATTCTTCCTTTCAATTGTTATGGATTTTCATGCTATTCTACTTCCTTCTAAATAAAAGAACAGTCTCGTAGAATTTCATTTTAAATAGTTCATTTGATGGGAATTGAGGGGAATAAAGTAAGATTAATTTGATAGTTTTTTTTTTTATAAAAATTTCAAAGTAGAGAACTAAATGTTACGATCGAGGTGATAAAGTATCAAAAGAGTTTATCTTGTTAAAAATAGATCATTAATCAATAATTAATTTTATTTGCATTGTACACGAATAAAGTGATGACGCATTAATGCAAGAATATTTAACTGATCATTACTAATCCTGTACTTGCCACGTCCTTGTACTGCCCTATCTAATTATTGAGAGCTAAAGTAATAATTGTAATACAAATAAATTTATACAAATTGCATTTAATTTCATTGAATATTGCGAGAACATTGGCTCGAATGATAATAAAGTATATAATTATCATACTCTATGACTATAGAAATTACAGGATGAGAGTCAGACACCGAAGGGAGATTCTAATACAACTTCGCGTCGCAACATTTTTGACTTTTCGACGTATCCACGTCCAAAATTGTTCGAGCGTAAGTCCAAAGCCAAAGCCGACTACGTCACATCATCGCCGAAAGAATCTCGATCGCAGTCGACTGAATCCTCGACGTTCCCGCGATCAAAGAAATCGTCATTATCGTTGAGTGAGCGCTGGGCTCAGAGATTCGGCGACACGTCACGATTTTTTCACGATTCATCGTCGATCACGGATGAAAATATCATCGATAGATCAAAGCCCTGGCTGCATCCGTCTTTTGAGAAGCCAAGATTTTCGCTAAAACCTCAGACGTCGAAGGATGACGGCGAGGATGATGACGAGGACAATGAGGAAGATGATGATGATGATGAGGAGGAGGAGGAGGAGGAGGAGGAGGGGGAGGAGGAGGAAGATAAATTGCCGTGGGAAAATACAGAAAGGAGAACGTACGTAGTGGACGATGAAGATATTCTGGAGGACGAAGAAGAAAAGAATATATCACCTCAGGATAACATCCGGTCCAAGGTGGTACATATATATTAAAATCTTGTTTAGTGTGTTAAGTATAAATCTTAAGGCTTTGTGCTTGATTTGTTAAACCTGTTTTAGTAATCTGAATGGTCGAACTAAATAAGTATGTTGCATTTTCAAATTGAATTAATTCCTTTAAAAAATCGCAAATTGTTTTAAAGCATATTTAATTATTTCTATGCTCATTTATCATATATCAATGCATTCACTAAGCAAAAAGTACTAACCCTAATTTTTTTGGATTATTATAAATATTATGAAATAATACGATTTTTCACAAAAGTAAAATTGAACAATATGAGTATTTTTGTTTTTCAAATACTTAAGCAGTTTTGTATTCATTTATGAATACATCATACTTTATTAAAAATAAGTGAGCTTGAATGATTTATGACGTATAGTTATATTGTTTTGAATTTAATAAGTTGCAAATTTAATGCGCAAGCTGTAAGATTTTAACAATATTATTAATACAATTTATTTTTTAATAATTAACAAGTATGCATTTGTAAGGAGCAAAGCGTTAACAATGATACTGCTATTTATTTTTAACTTGTAGAATGTGTATATCATATATATATTTGTATAATATTAAATTACCAAAGCAATTTTCTATTTAAGTTATTTTATAGATTTATAGATAATATTTTTAACAAGTTTTTAACATGTATGTACCCCACAGAAAGAGGATTTTATTTTCGGCAACCAACTCATTAAAGATCCAAGAGTGAGCGACGAGGAATTAATGAATCGTATTGGAAATGAACAGCCAAAGAAAAAAGTTCGTCTGGTCGAGAGCGTCAATGGATCGAGCATTGATCCCGATGTAAGTTTTTGACGAATTTTGGAAAACTTCTAAAGTATAAACTTAAATTTGACAAATAGAATACTGTGCCGATCTACTCTAATCATAGATTTCGAATATTTTATATCATCTAATTTTTTGTTTTGTTTTTTTTTTTTTTTTTTTTTTTTTTTTTTCATTGAAAATGTCCTTGCCACTTTTATAAGATTGTCTTATCAAAAATTAATAATGATTTACTGATAAATGGTAGAGATTAATCAACGATAAAATCAAAATAATTATCTAGTGTTTTCAACTTAAACTTCATCTACAAATGATATTCCTAAAGTGAAGTAATCCTTTTAGATAGAAGACGATACAGCGTATCATCAGCAAGAAGTGTTTGATGTTGGATTTCCACCGGTGGATCCACGTGTTTTCGATGCAAACCGAGAACATTCCGAGGGTATGTCGGAAGACGAAGACTGCTCATCCATCAGGTCGGACCGGGAGATCCAACAGTCGAGCGGAAGTTCATGCGAGCGACGCCGTCATGGAGTTATAGAAGAAATAGACTCGGATGAATTCTTTTTAAGAGAAAAGGGCATCAGTCAAGAAAATATGAGATTCCACCTAATCAGCGAAATAAGGTAAGCTTATAATATAAGATAATTAATGAAATTGGCCAAAGTTGAGCAAAAGCACAACAATGTAATATCAATTTCATTATTTAACCTCAGGGACGCCCTGAGGCCACGTAACGCCTTGGCCGATGAAATACCACCCGAGCGGCCAAAACGCATGCGATCTTTCCGCAAACGGAAGGAAGAGTCTCTGGAATCGCTCGAGGCGACGCCTCCTCCCGAGAGGCCAAATCGAGATCGCGCCTCGCTACGTCGTAGTCAGGAGTCCTTTGGACAGACGAGTCTTGATCGAGTCAACAGCCTATCGCGGCATCGAATCGTCTACCAAACGGAGACGCCTCCAACGCCTACGGACTATGAGCACAGTAGCGAACCCCTCGACAACATCGTCGTGCTCAAACCCGAGAGAAGAAAGTCCTCCAAGCACTCGATCAAGAGCCAGAGCCATACGGAGCTCCCGATCGAGGAACAGAGTCTCATGCTCAGCCCGATGGTGCAGCAGCTTCCGCCGACCATCCCTCGTCGTAGAAAACGACTGCGAAGGGACCAGTCATCTGATTTAAGGTGAACATTAATCTTGGATTATGCTTCAATGACAAATTCATACAAATTCGAGTCGAGCTAACCAAATTTATATGTTCATTATTTATTTATGTTTATTATTCACAATAACGTGTCGCACCACATCGCTAAGATTTATAGAAAATCTTATTCCCGATTCATCAGCTTACGGACCATTGACGGTGCATTGTGCAATGGTTACGGCAACGGCAACTCCTTCGATCAGTCTCATGAGATGATACCACCAACTCCGCCACCGACTCCGCCGCCCGAATTTCCGGAGGATAACGAGTCGTTGCAGGACCTCGATAGTATCGTACCGCCCGTGCCTCCGAAACGCACGCGCTCCATCTCCAGGACAGCCTCTCTACCACCGGAGGACGACCGCACATCCCACGGCGCAGATTCGTTGCCGAATGACTTTGGGTACGTTGACGATGATTTGCCGACGATACCGAGGGACTCGTCGTCGCGCGAGCCCAGCTTGCCTGGCTACGCCGTCATCGAGAAAAAGGATAAGCCACCGAGGCCACCACCCCCCAGGAGAAAGCGGCAGCAGAAATATGCCACAGCTCCGAGGCCCACCAAAACCACTCCGCAGAGACCACAAAGAGCCTATAGCACCCTAAGGCTTACCAAATCTAACTCAATAAGGTATCCGTAAGGTCCCTTTCTCACTTTGTATTTATTTGTCTGTATTTGCGTGTACTTATGTGAATGGACACTATTGAGATATTTAAGAGATCTTAATTTTATAGAGAATATCATTGTGAATTTCATGAGATCAATATTTTTTATAATGCTCATATTTAATATCCACCTGCTATAAATTAATGATAAAATTTTGTAATTTGATATTAAAGTATTCGTACTCTGTGAACAAACAATTGTGAATAAGTAGCATAAGAATAGCGGAAGAATAATTTTTGTTCTGAAAAATACGTCATCATCCTATTGATAATTATAGAAATACGTTTTTTTTTTTTTTTTTTCTATAATAAGATTCGCGAAATATACCTCTATTGATCTACAGTCTTCAATTTATATTTTACTACTTCGTATCCAAATCATTCGTATCGAATTTCGTGTGAATTTGAATAGTTGAATAAATGTTAATGTAAGTAGCAGAAAAGAATTTTAAGATCTTAAACGCCTTTAAAAGCTGTAAATGTTGAGAAATTTAAAAATATTTTTAAATAGATGCTATTGAAAGTTTTAATTGTATTCATGGAAATTTTCGCATTAAAACCAAAAACTTAATGTTAATTTTATAAAATTGCCTAATTATCCGTGAATGTTACGAATAGAGTTAAATAAGTTTTACAGCTTAGCAGTTGTATATAACACGTTAAATTACGACTTTTCCTATTAAAGTTACGTAAATGAAATTGCATGTAATATCCTTCTTCGGTCAGAAAATCGAGTGAATCGATGCCATTTATCGATCACGACTATTCCCTGGAGAACGATGACGATTTTCATAAGGACTTATTGAGTGGCGAAGTTGTTGTCAAAATGCAAGGTCGGCCATTGCCTGCGCCACCTCGACCTCCCCGACATCGTAAAGTTCGCAGGAGCCCGGTGCGGCAAATCACTCCAGACTTCTCGGAAACCGTTGCCTCCACTCAAACAGATCCACTGCCAGATGATCTTGTCATCGAGGAAGAAATTACCGCGGCTAAGCTCGTGGTCACACCCTCGAGAAGCGGCTCGACGAAGGTATATATAAGCACCGAGAGGATACCGAGTCCAACGGTAGGAAGTTACAGCAGTACAAGAAGTGCAACGCCCTTGATGCCAACGATTCCACCACTTCCGGATGCAGTTCAGCAACAGAGGGATACAAATGAACCGCGAGCTATGGACACGGGTTTGTTCATAACTTTATGTCGCTTCTTTGCCAATATTCTCAGTAATATAGTCAATAATTCATTATAAAACTTATCAACTATATATATATATATATATATATATATATATATATATACGTACACATATAATTTAACCTGAAATTTTCATTGTTTACGATTTTAATTTAACTTAAAAAATATAACAGACTAATTGGAATAAGGACGAGATAAATTATTTCTCTACATTTGTATAAAAGTCAGTGACAAGAGAAAAATGCATTTGAACGATATTCAATTTAATAGATTCTTTAATGTTAATTGTTTTCGATGTAGGAGAGAGCCAGCAAAAAATACCGTCCTCTGGTGAATTTAAACGACTCGATCCATGCCAATTAGATCTTATTCGTTCGGCCTTATTTTCCACCGAGCAGCCACTTAAAATCCCGAGCCTTGAAGTGACGGATCTAAAAGTCGATCGCCTAACCGTCTCGCAAATAGAGGCATACAAAGTCGTGGCCTCGGAGATCGACGCCATTGTAGTCTCCGCGACTGAGATGTCGAACAAGGGCGAAGCCGAGGGCGGTGTTCATCCCTCACTGCTTCAAGAACTTATATCCATAAGAGATCAATTAGGTGACAAGATATTAATGACTTGATATTGTATATAGAATTGGCTAATGAAATAGCTTGATCATAAATTTTCTATTTACTCCAATGCGCACTAGTTGCAAATTAAATATCGATATTAAATGTTTACGCATCTTAAATGTACAATGGCACTTTGTGCGCTTATATAATTTATCTTCATTACTCGATACAGACACATGATTTATGAAGATTTTAACGAGACTGTGAGAAAGAGCGTTTCAATAATATTTTGACAAATAAGAGCTCCGCACTATCAATTTTGCTTGTTAAAATTCTTTCGCGGTTACGGCAGAAGCGGTAATGGCGGCTCAATCGCAGTCGCAATCGCGTCCGCAGTCCGTAATGGAGGACGCGTGCATCGGCACCAGCAACGAGAGGATCAACACCACGGAGGAATCTGACGGTGAGGTCGAGAGGCGTCCCTTCGTAAGGGAAAGCTCGCCTTTGCTGATCGTTGAGCCGCTGAGCAACGAGCAGGTGTCCACCGTAGAAATGGGCCGAACCGTCTTACCGCAGTCGTCTTCTACCACTGACCTCACTGCCATGGACGACGTCGATGCGACTGTGACGTCGGCATCGTTTACCGAGGTGGGTCCTTAAACGTCGAGATGCTGATATGATTTTGGATAAATCGATATTCTTAGCTTAAAGTAATTCAATTGTATTAATTAATTTCTATGCCATTACAAACAATTTGATTTTATAATAATTTACAATAATAAATACTATTTGTGAAGAAACGAAGTCGTTGAAATGTCACTTTCAGATGTATGTAATTTATTCTTTAGAACTTATTCACTATCATAATCAAATTAAGTAATGATACTTATCTTGTATTTATAATACTTATTATGATTTTCAAGGTATAAATGTAAAGAAAATTCCATACATTATGAATAATTCGAATTTGTAAAACTGAAGATCCAAATATCATTTTCCAATTTATACGCGATAAATTCCACGGAATTATCACGGAAATGTCACGCGTGACGAGTAAGGATTGTTTGCATTAATGAATTGTTAATGTAATCCTTCCGCTTGATAGCGGTTTATAACAACAGCAAGTCATTTATCGAAATGAAAAAAAAAAAAAAATCAATATCTTAGAGGATGGAAGAGCCAATGGCGGCTGCGATTGTAGCAACTTACGGGCATCCGACTCGAGCATCCGACAGGGCAACATCCGAGCCGACGGCAGTCACGGGCGATCGACCGGAGTTAAATTCGAGATCGAGATCTACATCGCCAAGTCGAAGTGTCCCCGGTGCCATCAGACAAACAGCATCACCGGTAAAGTCACTACCACCCGTGATTTCCGTAACACCCGACAGTATAATTACACCGGCGACACTGGGCAACAACAGCATGCCAATCAAACACGTAACATCCAACGAAGTCCAACCCCAACGTGCTGTTATATCGTACTCTTCCTCGGACGAGGGAGCAGCGCCATCATCGCCATCATCGCCATCATCGCATCATCCACCCCGCGAAAGCTCCCAACTCCCGTCGTCTTTGCCGACGGATATGTCCTCCCAAAGATCATCCACTCGTCACGCGAAAGAATCCACCCAATCATCAAAGGCCCAAGACAAAATCATAGCCTTCCACACTTCACAAATCCCCCCAGAATTTTTCAGACTAGTCAATCCGCCATTATTATCGTCAGCCATCACAACCGCACCACAACAGCGATCCGTCGTAGAGGTAGAGCCGAGCGTTGCCGAAATGATTGGGCAATTGTTCCGAGCGTTGAGTCTTGCTGGGACGCGCTCATTCAGGCATTTTGTCGATTCTGTAGTTTCTAGATTCGAAGGTCAGTCGGATACAGCCAGAGGGGAGGAGAAAGTAAGGCGGATCGAGTTAGCGATGTGCGCCCTGCTGATACTCATAGCTGGCCTCATCATCTTCTGCATCTGTACCCCGAGATCCGTCACGCATCATCATCATTGGGACTACTTCAATCCACCCAAGTGATCGTTTGATTGAGCGTAAGTATGTATGAGGCTTTGAGAGGTCTCAACATTATTTTCTAATCCTTTGGTTCGCTTATTTAAAACGTCGTGCTTTTGAAAAAGTGTAACGCGTAAAATTTCATGTAAAAACACATTCTATTGACTTTTCATTAAGTGTATTCGTTTTCACACGTAGTCAAATTATTTGTCTGTGTAGTTTTTCATTTATAATCGATGCGAGAAGAATTTTCTTAAAGTACTTTAGACGGATAATATATATTTTAAGATAATCTTTCTTTCATTCTTTCTTTTTTTTTTCTATAAATACATCGTAAAATATACTTTATATTTATACTACTCTCTTCGCTACATTATACGTATACAAATATTTTTAGTTGTTTGCGCTCTAATATTAAAAAAAAAAAAAAATAAAAAAAAAAAATAATAACAAAAACAAAAACAAAAGACAAAAAAGAAAATAATGCTACTTTAAACAAGTGAGACATGAGAACGTTGCTCGCGGATAATGATCATTTTTTAAAATGATCGTTCGATAACAACGCAAAATGTCAACATTCTTTTAATCTTATTCTACTGATTTATACATTTAAAATGGCTTTATTTTCTTTAACTTTATTATTTTAAAGTTTAAAGTTAAAATGTTACCATTTTTCTAGGGAAAATTAGCTCAAATTTCATTCTCTGCATGTGCGATCGGTTTAGGAATTCTTTTAAATACAGTAGATATAAGTTGAGAGTAGAATTTTTATTTTAAATGATTGCACAGTAAGTTCTAATGCAAAGATCTGAATGCTAATTAAGGGAAAATAAAAAACACTCAAAGGGTTACAAAATACAAATAAAACTCAATTGTTTTTAATTAAGACGTGTACGCATAAGTCCGAAACTTATATACTTATCTATGTAAAGTGATTCACGTCCTAATGTATTTATGATAACCACGTTTTATATAAAAAATTATACATTTATCTATATATTGTTATCGAACTATTATATTGTTGAGTCATGTTAAACAGTTTATAATAAATATTACAAATATTTTTAAAAGCTTTTAAAATATGTTTGCTGTTTATTTACTTTTCAGATCCTTATAAATTTGCGAGTGAACTTCCCACACAATTCTACGTTTTTTACTTCAATCCATATATCTCATCAAATAAAATAATCAACTGCTACTATTGTCACTCATCAACAATGCTTAGTATGTAGTAAATAATTAATTAGATTTCGAAGTAGCTAAAAATGCCAATGACAACGAAATGTAAAAAATATTTTGATCAGCATTTTATTCAAATTTTATGTTTAAATAAACTGAAAAAAAAAAAATATATATATATATATATATATATATATATATATATATATATATATATACATATATATTACAAAATATTTTTTTTCAATTATTGAAAGAAAACATCCTAAAAAATGTTTCTTATACGTTATTTTATATAATAGCGCTTAAAACCTGGACATACTTTCGCTTTATTATCGGAGAAACTTTCATATTCACATTGTATCCACTTAAAAGATATTTTTATTTTATTTTACACCATTATTTCATTTTGTGCAGTCAAGATAATTTTTCATTACAAAAGCAAAAACATCACGCTATTAAGAGTCTTTATATAAAAATTATACTTTATTAAATGTGAGTTCTCTTTAATAATTTCACAAGAAAATATAACACTATGTAAATGTACACTTTTAAAAATATTCACACTAAAGATGAGTTCATAATTAAAATTGTAAAATATGAAGTAATATAAAATTTAACATTTTATTTGGTCCAAAATTTTATTTAAATAAATCTATCTATTTCCTTAATAACTATAATTACATTTATTTTTACAATTAGGTAAAGAAATCATCATCGTAAATAACCATATTACGTTTATCCTTGTGACTACTCTTTTGCATATAACTTGCCGCTAATGATGACCACATTGTACTGGAAGTTGTGTCATTTATGGGATCAATCACTGGTTGTCTTCGAGCCATAGAAACTTTCAATTGAATCGATGAAGCCATTATTCCATCCATTTCGCTTATTGATCTCTCGGCTGATTCTGCTTTCTCAAAAGTTATGAAACCTCTGTTGAAATATATAAATTAAATTTACAAAACAATATATGATGCTTAGGTTGCAAATCAATTAAATATAAGTAACGTCTAAAATGTAAAGTAATTATATTTTTTATTAATAATAATAACAATTAATTAACAATTAATAATGTAATAAAAATAAATTAACAATTAATAATAATACAACAAATTATACATTTTTCGTTTTAAGATTCACTATCTTTGGTACTTAATTCTATAATTCAAAAGAATGTAAAATGAAAAACAGTAATTTATTCAAAAGTTTGATCATTTATATATAATATTATTTTTGTAACTGTATTATCATATTAATTATAATCGACTTAATTTTCATATTTTCTAATATGTATCTTCTGAATAATGAGCAGAATTATTAAACAACTGGATAAATGATGAATAAATTATAAAAACATTGATTAATCTATTATTATTAATTAAAAAATTATAAGGTAGAACATCTTCTACTTCAATACAAAGCTATAATAGTGATAATTATACTTTAAATTATTATGAGTATAATTATTTGAATAAGTAAGCATTTATTTAAAAATTAATATTAAATTAATATTATTGCTTACTTTTTCTCGGCTTCCATTGTTATTTTCAGAATATTGCCAAATGTAGCAAAATGTTTTTTTAAAAAATCTTCTGATATTTTATAACCCGAAACAAATATTGTATTGCCTTTGATAGATTTTGCTTCTGGCTTTGCAGATACAGACTTTTCAGTAGTTCCTCTGTCTGCAGTGTCGGTAGCTGATACAAAACTATCATAAAGACCTTTCACTTTTGGTCTTGTTGGTTCACTATCTTCTTCCTCTGGTTGTGTTGCTGAGAATGGCTGATAAGATGATACTGTTTTCTCCGTACTGTTTAATTTTCGTTCTAATCCTCTAGGTCTCTTAAAAGCTTGTTCTGGACGTTTCGGGGTTTTGGGCGCAGTTATGACACCCGATTTAATTAATTTCTTTGCAACTTCACGAGCATCTCTAGCTTCTGTAGGGCGCTTAGGAGTTTGAGGAACACGTTCTGGTTCAGGTTTTGGCGATTTTAAATCTTGCAATGCCTTTTTCTAAGAAATTAAATTAAAATTTAGAAAATAGCTTTGAAACTTAAACAAATAAGTCTTTCTATTATTAAGAATACAATATAACTGTCTGTAAAACAAACAAAAAAAGAAAAAGAAAAAAAAAAACAAAACAAAGAAGAAAAATTCCATGTAAACAATGAAACATAACCTCAACGGTACAAGAATTACTACAGGAAACTACCTTTCTTTTTAACTTATTGTATTTTGCTTGTAGCATCAATTCTTCTTCTGTTAAATTGGATGGAAAATGTAGGTACACCATGTTTGTCTATATTGTTTTCTCATAACCATCCCTTACACAAGTACTACACTTTACTGCTGCACGGCAATATATTATTCAAACATGACTGCCTGTCACTTTCTATAACTTTCTTCAAGTGGCAATAACTTCCTGCATTAATTTTAATAGAGTTTGCGAATTCAGAGTACTACCTGACTCACCGGATCACGTGCAATCCGGGAACATTCAAATTGGAAGGTAAAAATAAAATATTCACGTATCTCTCTCATTGTGTCCTTTGGACAATTAAATGGTACACAATTTTTTATTTTTTTGTTATTTTCCATGGAAAAGCCATTAATGCCACATTCTTATGTAAAAATCTTATATTTTTATTACTTACATTACTTCAAAAATTATTCCTATGTATTCAAACGTAATTTGCCCGCTCCCAAAATATTAATAATTATCTAAAATGTACTATCTATTAACAATTGATTAATAAACTATTCGTAGTCATAATTTATTACAATTTTCATATCAAAATAACATATAAAGAGTAAGAATATCATTGATCAATAAATATTAACCAGATCAGGCAAAAATTATTAACAATTGAAAATTGAACAATTAATTAATTTATATAAACATATTTTTCTATAAATCTGTATAATAATAATTACAAAATTAATTAAAAACATTAATGTAAATGAAGTCGGATAACGTTTGATATCGTTACGAATCTATGGCATCCATACAAATCTAAAAGATCAATCAGTCATTTTCAGACAAATTTTGAAAATATTAATATTTTTGTTATATAATCTTTACTATAGGTGGTATATTGATATAGGTGCATAGGTGTATTTATGCATATAGAATAGATAGTAAATAGTACGTTTAAAATTATCGAATAGAATAAATTTATTGTTTTTTCATTAAAAAAAAAAAAAAAAAAAAAAAAAAATTTAATTTAGATCTAAACAAATTTAATGATTTTTTATGATTGACAGTATCTATCTGTATATTGAAGTTAGCTAATTTGAATGGGAAATGTAGTTGAGTATTGAGAGAATAATATGGATTGTTTCATTTAACGTTTACTTATTGAAATATTTTTCAATTTCCTTCATAACATGAAAAAAAGAAAGTGAATTAAATTATAATTTTTGATCGAATAAGTGCTACACCCACTCATAGAGTCATTAAATAGTTCTTATGCTTGCGTTGTTTATATTCTTAAAAATAAAATTATTTACAATAAAATACGGCTTAAAGAGTTAATTAACTTATTATTAAATAAAATAAGATCATTTCTACATAAAAACATTGCGCTTGCAAATTTAACAATATAGCGAATTTTCTATGTTTCATTAAAAGAACGATGAATGTCTGTGACAAAAAAGTACATATAATTATACGAAAGTTATGAATTAAAACATCAGCGTAATGAATTATTCTCTTGTTAGTGAGGTTTGATCGTTTTTTAATATAACAGATGTATTCGGTCTTCTGATAACCGGAGTTGAACTTGCACAGACTTAAATAGAATAATATCGTGTAAAACTTTTTAGGTTGGACTCATGTTTTCTTTTTTGTTGTTGTTGTTGTTGTTAATTATAAGTGCAACATTCGATTATTATAAATTATTAATACTTCACGGTCAAGTAAATTAAGTTTGACCGATAGTACTTTTTAAAGCCGTGAAAATAATTATCAAAAATCGTATTTCTGTTACTTTTTTATGTTCGATCGTGCAGTAAATAATAAATTTTTTTGCTGACAATACTATGCGACATTCAATTACCGAAAAATCAGAATATATTAGGTACGTATTTTGAAAATAAACAAGTCGATCTTTTAATTTTGTTTAATTGAAAACTGCTAGATATTCACGATGCGGTAGGTTACCATAATAATTGTAATTTGCAAATTGCTACGTTTATGTCTTTGTTAAAAATAAAAACATTATGTGCTCGATTTATATTTATTTCAATTACTTTTATACAATATAACTAACTTTTGGTTTATTTTTCATGTATAATTTTGTTTGACATACGGTGAATTTTTATTAGACAGAGAATATTTAAGGTTAAGCGACAATTATTAGGATACATTGCTACGCCAGTTTATATATAATTTTATTTGCCAGAGCATTTGAAATAATTTATTAATTTAATAGGTTATAATGTATATATATAAAGCAAGAAAATTTGTACACATTAAGTTTACAAGAAGATATACTGTTCATCCCGAACGGTTAAATGGTAATTTCTTATATTAAACATTATGTATGTAATCTAAAATAAATATGAGATAATGAATAAATAATAAAATTATACAGATTTTCCTAGCTGTTACAATGCATCGGATACAGAACAAGGCTGGTACGAGGTTTGGGAAAAGAATAAATTTTTTCAACCACAAAATACCAATGAGATATATAGGATGATTTTACCACCTCCAAATGTTACCGGAACATTACATTTAGGTCATGCTTTGACAGTGACAGTTCAAGATATTCTAGCACGATGGTAAATATCTACTTGCTTTAATATTACAACATTACAATATTACAATATGTATTATATGTTATAATTAGGTATAGGATGAAGGGATTTCCAGTTATTTGGGTCCCAGGGTTTGATCATGCCGGTATAGCTACGCAAGCTGTAGTAGAAAAATATTTAAGTAAAACAAAGAATATCAAAAGAAATAGTTTGACTAGAACAGAATTTCATACAATTGTAAATGATTGGAAAAATAATAAAAGTAAAAAAATTAAAAATCAATTAAAAGAATTGGGAGCGAGCGTAGATTGGTCAAGAGAATATTTCACTATGGATGAAGTGCGTATACAATTAAATTTGTTTTAATTAATTAAAGTTTTAGACGGTTCTGAAATTGTATTAATTTTAGCATCACAGTAAAGCTGTCAAGGAAGCATTTGTCATATTGAATAAAAGACAGCTGTTATATAGAGACAAGAGCTTAGTAAATTGGTCTTCGGCCTTGGGTAGTACTTTGTCCGATATTGAGTTAGAATTTGAGACTGTAACTGGGAAAGTAGACCTGTCGGTGTCTGGCTATAATAATAAAGTTACTTTCGGACAAATTTACGAAATTTCTTATGATTTAATAAATTCAGGTATATTTTACCAATATCATTTTTTTCATGTTATATAATTTTTTATACAAGAAATTTTTATACAAGAAATTTTTATACAAGAAATTTAATTTAAAGATGATAAGTTAAGTGTTGCAACAACAAGGCCTGAGACATTGCCAGGTGATGTAGCTCTTGCCGTTCATCCAGATGATGAGCGATATAGCCAATTTATAGGTCAGCTGGTATGGCATCCTTTGAAAAAAACTTCCTTACCTGTGATAGCTGATGAAAATGTGAAGAGAGATTTTGGCACGGGTACTTAAATTAAATTATTCCAAATAATAGAGTGTAAATAGTACATTTAAGACAATTGCTCAAAGCGTCGAGCAGCATAATATTAAAATTTGAAAATTTAGTTAAATATATGAAATTATTTATTTTAGGTATTGTAAAAATAACACCTGCCCATGATAAGTTGGATTTCAACATTGCCAAAAAACATGGTTTAAAAATGATCGAAGTCATTAACGAAGATGGCAAATTAACGAAAGAGGCAGGTCGTTTTCAGGTGAAATATTTTATTTCGATAAAATAACATATCGCATAATTATAAAACGTATTAACATAAATTTGTGATAACAGGGATTACCAAGATTCATTGCGAGAGAAAATATTTTAACGGAGTTGGTGAATCTGAATGCCTTAAAATCAGTAAAAGATCATCCCATGCTAATTCCACGATGTTCACGAACAGGAGACATTATAGAACAATTATTGCGAGAGCAATGGTTTATCAGTTGTAAAAATATGGCATCAAGAGCATTTGAAGCTGTTAAAAATGGATCGCTAAAACTTAATCCTTCAATGTATAATGACATATGGCTTGATTGGCTTAACGATACTAATTATAGGTATTAATAAATAAATTTATGAATTTTAGAGTTATGGCTGTAGTTAATAAATCTGTCACCATAACTAAGTTCAATTCTTATAAGATACTACTTTTAGAGATTGGTGTGTTTCAAGACAATTATGGTGGGGTCATCAAATACCTGCCTATTATTATAAACAAAATTATATTAAACATTGGGTAGTTGCATCATCCGAAGACGAAGCTTTAAAACATTTTAGGACACAATATGGAAATTCCGTTTGGGTTCAACAGGATAGTGATGTCCTCGATACATGGTTTTCTTCCGCACTATTACCAATTTCATCTTTCGGTTGGCCAAATCAAGTAATTATTCATAAATTAGTATTGAAATCGATTAATTTATCGTATAAATGTGCGATTTAATTATTATATTTAAGAAAAATAATAAACTATCATATCCAATTAATAAAATCGAAAGAATTACATGATGTAAATGAATTTGCTTTTGTAGACAGTGGATCTTAAAAAATATTATCCTTTAAGTATTATGGAAACAGGACATGACATTTTAATTTTTTGGGTTGCTCGAATGGTTATGTTAGGACTGGAATTGACCGATAAACTTCCATTTAACGTATGCCTTTTATACATAATTATTTGCATTTTTTTTTTATAAAATTTAATTAAACTTCTATTAACAGGAGGTATTATTGCACGGAATTCTTTGTGACGCCCAAGAGAAAAAAATGTCAAAAAGTCGTGGTAATGTAATATTTCCAGAGAACGTTATAAATGGGGTCTCTTTACAGGTAGAGTTGGAATTAAAAGCAAAAAAAAAACTTTTATTTATAAATTATAAATAAACTAAATTATATTTACTTGTATGTTTCTTGCAATATTATACTTTTTAGAGCTTAAATGAACAAGTAGAGAATAACTTTTTCACTGGTATTTTGAACATAGATGAATTAAAAGAAACAGTAGCCATGAACACAAAAAATTATCCAAATGGTATAGCTAATTGTGGCGTTGATGCTCTGCGATTTACATTATGTTCCCATAACATTAAAGGTATTGTAAAGCATCAAATTTTTTATTTCTTTATACGAATGAGATTACTCTGCTTTTTACGTCTATTATCACACACCCAACGTATATGAAAAAAAAAAGAGAAAAAAAAAAGAGAGATTGTATTTGAAGATAATTAACATTTTATTTAGAGCGTACGGTGACGTTCGATATTACCGAATGCGAACAAAACAAATTTTTCCTGAATAAGATTTGGCAAGCTAGTAAATATTTATTACAAATGACAAACGACTATCCAATTGTATTTCCTCAAACTTTAACTACAATTGATAAATGGATATTAAGTCGACTGTCATTCATGGTGGATTCTGTTAATAACGGATTTGATGAAAAGGCTTTTTATAAAGCGGTATCAAGTATAAAACAATTTATGTATTATGAATTTTGTGATTATTATCTGGTGAGTTTTTAATTCAACGTAATGAAAGTAAAGTATGACATTAAATAATTAAAATTGAATCATTTTTAAGGAAGGAACAAAATTGGGATTTAAAAGTAAAGAGATCGATGTCATTACTAGTCATAGATATACATTAGCAAAATGTTTAGAAGTAACATTGAGGATTTTAGCACCGATAACTCCGTATTTTAGCGATGATCTGTACTCGAAATTATCAAAAAAATTATCAACTTTCGTATTTAAAACGTCCTTACTGGAAAGTTCCTATCCAACTAATCGAGAAGTTGAAGATTTACGGAACGTTGAATTGGAACAGGACATTAATAAAGTTACGAAACTAATTTCCTTTTTAAGAAGTTTATTAAGTAATGTGCCGAAACGAAAGGACGCAAAAGGTATAATATTCAATCCTACTTGCATGTATTACACAATAATGTAATATATTATTGACTTTATAAAATTATTTAAGGCTGTATTGTTGTTAATACTTTGGAAGATCAAAAATTGTACGAGGAAAATATTAATCTTATATCGGGAGTTAGCAGATTATTGAAAATTGAAGTTTCTCAAGCGAAAAACTACAAAGGAAATAAAAATAATATCAGTAGTAATACCGATCTTAATTGTTTTATCGATCTTATAATTAAAGACCAAGCAGTTCTTAATGAAGTAAAACAGAAAATACAAACAAAGAAAGTGAAAATTGAAAATAAATTTAAAAATTTCGTACAATCGAATAAAAGAAAAAAATTTTCATCCAATAAATTAAAGGAGCAAAGTTAAAACAAAATAATTCATCATATATGTATATAAGTTTGCAAATTTATAATTAAATAAATTACTAGACTTCGACCTTATTTTTCTCTAAGAATAATCGTGCCTGTTATTGATTTAAAAACAACAAATTAATTTACATTTTAATCAAATTGTTATATTGTATATAATATTTTATAATTAAAGATTTGACAATATTTCTTTACAAATGAGTAAATTATGCATCTTCCATTTCATTATTATCCTCATCGATATCTTCATCGGATTCTGATTCAGAACTGCTAGAGTCTAACAAGACTAATGTTGATATATCGTCGTTTATTATCGTTGTCCATTTATCCAATTTTTTACAATCTAATCGACATAGAAAGAGTATTAATAAAATAATTTCTTCTATCACAAATGACAAGAATATTTTATTTGTTATATTATTAACAGTTAGTAAATATAAAAACTATGCATCATCATTATCGAGATGAATAATAAATAATTACTTATATATATGAGAAAATTGTTTTCATAATTTACCTAAACTGTAAAAATCATTTAGCGTATATTGTTTATCTCCATCTTCGATCATGCCTCCGTACATGTACAATATATTATTCTTTACAGCTAAACTAGCGTTAATTCTTGCTGCTGGTGTGAATGTATCTGAAACAGGTACTCCGACATCCGATGTGACTTTGTTTGTTGAAAGTGTAGGACCAAGAGTGACCTGAAAATTAATTTTTAAAAAATATATTTTATTCACTGTGTACCCGATGACCTGGATATTAATATAGTTATTACAGTAAAGATTCCGTCATCATCTGTCACTACGGTTCTTGCAAGGGCACTCTCAATTTCGGTCTCTACATCTTCCGTATTGTCTTCTATCTCATTCTCCTCAATATTTTCTTCATTTTCATTATCTTTAATTGTCCGTCTTTTTTTACGTACAGCCAAATCAGTTTTCCCACTTAAATGAACTAAACGGGCATATTTTCAAACAATAATCTCACATTATCTTATTCAATATCTCTCTAGAAAGTATATTTTTTAGATTTAATCGTTGTACCTCTATGCCACTGTGGCTTGCTCAAATTTAATGAAAAAAGGTCATTAAATAACCTTCCATTCAGTTCTTCCTCATTATCCTCTTCGTCAAATACTCCTCCAAATATATAAGCTATATTTGGTTGAACGATAACAGCTGATGCACTACACCTAGGTGATACTGTTATGCCACTTGGTTTTACAGTAGACCATTTCCATTTTAAGCCAGTTTCATCATTTTCTTATAAAAAGATTGTTACATTAATAAGAATTCTTGTAATAAACATTACAAATCTAATAAAATATTGTAATAATTTTACTTTCAGGAGTTAGTAAGAACATGTCACTGTGTATATGGCCTTTGTAAACATCTTTTTTTATTTTTTCCTTAATATAACCTCCGTAAATAAGAATTTTGTTTTCCGGCGTGGGTAACACTATGCAACCTGATCGAGGCACAGGTGGAATCCCTGGAAATTTGAATATTTGCCTAAATGAGAGATTATTATACTTATCCAAGTAATAGAAGCATTAATAATATTTACCTGAAGTTTCAATTCTATTCCATACATAATTTGTCATATTAAAACAATAGATATCATTGAAGTATTTGCAATCTTTATGATTATCGTAGAAACCACCAAAGACATATAAATTTTTTTTTATATTTATCATTCTGTGACCACTTCTCGCTGAAGGTCCGCCAGGAGCCCTGTTAAATATTTCAATAACTTATATATTAGTCGAAAAAAACACGTTTAATTATAAAGGAACAGACTATAAATCAAATTAATTGTCACTTTATAACTGTTGACAATATAAATTTTACAAAATTACGACGATAACTATGGTTTAACTAGTAATATTTGAGTCCCTTCAATGATTAATAATGATAGGTATTTACAATATTTTTTCCCATTTTTTTTCTCCTATATGAAATTTCCACAAATCTCGATAGTGATAAAACTGTGATTCTGATGGACTGGAAAATTCTCCACCAAAGATCCAAATTTCACCATTGTTCGATTGTGTACCAATCGCTTGATGGCTGCATCTTGGTGGCGGAGCATAAGGTGCTTTGACAACCGTCCATTCGTTCTTATTTATATTATAAAAAAACAAATCACCATAAACTACTGTCTTTTGGCCATTACAAAATTCGCCACCAAGCATAATAAGCTCATCTTTAAACGGATGAGGGGTTAATGTAAAATTAACTCTACGAGAGGGTGGTGAAACCACTGCTTCTACAACCTTTTGTCTAGATGCTTCTTCTTTTTCAATTTGAGCAATAACCGTTTCTATATCTTCCTAAATTTAAAATCAATGATTATAATTACAGGTATACTTATTATTAATGCAGTCTTAAACACCGTCTAACCTCATTCAGAACCGCCAATTCTTTTTTGTGTTTACTGTTGAGTTTCTTTTCAGTCTTTTTCAGCGTTTTCTCATTTCCGCTGATCTTTTTCTTATTCTTCTTTTTCATTTTGTGTTTAAGCAATCAAAGCAATTAGAAATTACAATTTGTTAATCCGACACTTTTTGCTACACAATTTATGGTAGATCAGTGGCGGATTTGTCAACATTAGAAAACTAAAGAGAAGAAGTGTCACACTTCGTTCTAAAAAATATACCAAACTGGTATTTTTTATTTTTCGAGATTTAGTAGTTAGTATAAAATTTTAATAAATTTCATATCAACCAAATATTAAATTTTCATTAGGAATGATTAATCTCTAGTTACTTAAACTAAATAAATAAAATATTTTATTTTTAATAAGTGAGAAAAATATTGTCATTTGGTTATAATTTTTTGTCTTGAGAGTAATACTTTACGAGAAGAGTAATATGAAATGCAAATTGTTGATTATATAAAATTTATTTATATTTCAAACTTTTATGCCATACATAATTTTATGTATATACATGATATCGCAATTCTTTTTTTTTTTTTTTTCTTAGCAAAAATAATAATAACATTTGGTATGTTGTATTTATAAATTTTTATAATTATAATTATAATAATCACAGTTACATCTTTAAAGAACTAAACATAATTTTTTTCTCCACAGGAGATAATTATTTGTCTTGTATTACATTATAGACCTACGTAATTACAACATATGAAAAACAACAAAATATAGCTATTTTTTACTTCCTAACAAACAGTGCAGAAATTCATTTTTTTATCTTCAATATTCTCTGTAGGTCATGAATCTTTCTTATTCTGATTTTCATTGGAGTTTTTTGATGAAATTTTTGAATTTTCCAAAACTGAAGGACCTGCAATCAGCTTTAATTCTGAATCCGTGTGACACTTCTTTTTTAATATAGTACCACCTGTAAATCCTGAAAGAAAATTAGTATTTAAAATTATTTTTCAAATTAAAACCATTCCTGTATTTCTGTGCATAAACATACAATTATATATATATATATATGCAATAATATTAAGTGTAATACTAGCTCGATGTCGAATATTGTTTAATCGATAAGGAATATTATGAACGACAATAAGCCGTTACAAAAATGTTATGAAAATAAAAAGTATTATAAATTTACCTAAAAGTCCTCCACCAATAGCTGTCAATCCTCCAAATTTTAAACCTACTAGTAGTCCGACCGGTCCACCCAAACAACTTCCGAGTAATGCTCCAGCCAATGGATATGCTACAATTTTGTATTTTGATGCTTGTTTCAAGTAATTTTCACCATCTTGAACGTTTACTTGGGTCTCCACTATGTCATTTTCAATTCTGCTTACCGATTCAGATTGTACCTATAAATATTAAATATTATTGCATTTAAAAGATTCAATCAGTTTCCAAAACGTTTTAAATTTTATATATGTAATAATTAACGTTAAATAATCTATTAAAAGCATCTAAAATTTATTAAAAATATCTGCCAATTTTTATTTCACATTATTCTCTGATTGTAATAAATGATATTAATTTGTCATTATTATATGAATTTCGTATGAATAGAAAATTCTACTTCTTATAACAAACGAAAACTTACGTGTACTATTTGATTAAAATCGATAAACAGTTGTTGCAATTGTTGTAAATCGGATTGTAAATAATCCCATGCTTGCAAGCAGGCTTGTTGTCTCTCTAATTCTTCTTCTTCGGCTTGCATTTGAAGATAATGATTGTCAAATGGCATTTCCACGGATTCGTCTTCTTTGGTTAACGGCTTGTTAATAAGTGGTAAATTTAAAACAAGTTCTATTAAAATATAAAAAATAAATTATTAAATGTCTCGTGAATGCTTAATATAAAATAAAACTATAAATGGAATTATGAAATAACCTAAATATTCGTTTATAGCGTCCAAGGTACTTGTTCTGGATTTTGATGTTAATTTATCAAAAGTAGCAATATCGCTGTCCAACACTTGTCCTCGTAATGTCTCCATTTCGTGAATTAGTTGTTTTAATTGTTTGACTATTCTCGTAGCATTTATTTCTTCCATATACACTTTGTCCCAGTCTCGAACACTTTGACACTATTGGAAACGCAAAGCACTCGTTTTATTATCGAAAAACAATTCTCATCATATAAGAATAATAAAATTTACTTACTTTCTTTATGTTATTTTTATGCTTCCTGAGGAGATCAAGATGATGTGGAATAGCAATATCATTAAATTTGTTTATTGGAATTTCTAAGCGCTTTATTGGTTGTTTAACGATCTCATTATCAGTAGACAGAGACATGTTTTTCAGCTCATTGAATATTTTCAAATGATTATAATTAAAAGGTAATAAATAATATCGGTATTCCTTTTACGTCTGCGCCGAAATTTGGTTATTGCACTGCTGCGTATATGAAAAATTTACTATACTTGATTATCGTATAAAAATAAACTAAATACTTTCTGTATGCAAATTTTAATCGAAATGTTCATATGTTGTATATAATACGATATATTATTGTTGCACTAAGAAAACTGTTTACGAATATGACTAAAGTGTCCACATCCACGATATGCGCATAACGTTTCTTTTTTTTTTTTTGTTCTAAAAAAAGACGCACATAGTATAAGTCACTGATTTGCGCCAAACATTGAAACTATAAACATACGCAACTTGATACAAGCTTGAACTAATCAAGTGGATTTTTCTCTTTGGAAAAATGCATTGCAAGTTATTACGATAATTAGGAAATCAATAGTATAGGATAATGTCATCAAGGAGGGGATAGAGCGGGAAATTTGTAAAGCTATATGGATAGAAGTGTTAGATCATTTCATTCTATATTGATTTTACATTATAAATATTTAGAGAAATTGTAATAATAAAGTAAAAATTATATTAATTACATGTTTCATTAGTCTATTTGAAGCTAGCTGAAGTAATATGTCGAATTATTCGCTGGTATAATATCGTGTATATATATTATTGAAATATAAGATTTCTCTATTTTTAGAAAATAAAATTTATATAATTATATCAAGAGAATTGTTTACTCAACTCCTAAGCAGGAGGATGTAGTAATGAATAGACAATGGTGATTTATATTTTAAAAAAAAATAATAAATTCTAGATTAATGCAATACAGTACGAGATAGGCATAACAGTAGTTTTATTAATGTTAAAATCATATTTATCTCAATAATTTGAATATAAAAATCTATCTTTGAAACTCATTAAACAGTATAATTAAAATTGAATATATACTTTTTCGATAATTTCGAAATGCGTGTAATCATTTTTTATGTTTTATATTATTCTTATATTACTATGTTATTTTTTACGATAAAAAATTGTTTATTTGATTTTTTTTTTTTTTTTTTTTTTTTTTTTGAAGAAAATTATGCTTTTAGCAAATTTTCTAACCATATGCATAAGTGTATAAGCGTAAGTTTATTAGGTAGTCTGCATAGTCTGTATATTAAAAAGTTGCCAAACGACTTTTTCGTTAATTTAAAATGTTTTATATGGTAGATTTATATATGTTCCTACAAATAAATGTAATTCATTTTTAGCACCCGATGAGTTTATATTTGCCAATCTCTCACTCTATATATTATGATTAATTTTTCATTTCGTACATTTCTTGGATGGAAAGTCATTTTAGTCTATTAGGTGCAATTAATGAAAGATCTTTTCAATTATTTATCTACTACTTTACTTATATATAAATTTAAGAATATTATAAACGCTAAAATTAACGAATGATTTCCACAGATTTTATATTTTCCTTATTTTCAATGCTAATGTTTAAAATTTTCATGCTCATTTTTGTAATACTTATTTCAAATTAATTCTATAAATTATAATCTAAATTAAATATTAATAGTTAACAACCAATTTTAACAACTTTTTAAAAATTATTTCTGAACACTTTTAATTATTAATTCATTACTATCCGTGCTCGGAAACGCCATTAACAAACGATTAAAAATATTTGGTTTGATATTGTCATTAAAAATAATTTTTTATTATTCCTTATAGCTACTAGCTCTATTATGAATCGAATTAGGTCAATGAAAATATTTTTAAAAAATTTTGCTCATTTGTCCAGTAATGGCAATAGTTAATAAATAATACAGACACGAAAGTGCGAATTTCATTATTTGAGAAAAGCATCTAAATAATGTCCTTGAAAATATCTTTACAAATTGTTTCATGATAATATTTCCAATAATAAACATAATATATTTTCTTCTTTATTAAATTGTCGAATCTCACGAAAGAAGGTTTAATAAGAAATTTGCCATAATACATCGAACGACGAAGTTTGAGGGAGTATATATTTTCCAACAAATTCATCGATGGATGAAAAATAATAATGAAATTTTCATTTCAACAAACTTTCATCAAATACATTATATTGTTTTGTTATTTTTAATATGAACGAAATAATTAAACAACCGTCTCTATATAAAAATGAACTAAAAATTAGTTTAAACAAAAGGTATAATTTAATTCATTTTACAGATATAATTAACTATAAGTATTGTATATAAACGATAATCCAAAGAAGATGTCCGTGCATGCCTCCTCCGTTATCTTAATACAATAAATTTACTCCCAAGTGATAAGGGAGGCGATATTAGATGTGTCATTGTGTTATGCTCAAAACCTTCCCTTACATCAATCTAAGAAAATTTTTTCTAGAATGTTTAATGATTAGATTAGGGACCAATGTGATGACGATACAATCGTCATTCGAGTTCAAACGTCGTTCGATCGGCGAAGAGAGGAGAAACAAAATGAGAATTAAAAAAAGAGGGAAACGACAGTTCATCCATTTCGTTCGTTCGTTGGTCGCGTCGGCGACTCGAGATATTTGCCGAAGAATAAAGCCGGGTTGGTTGGACTTCCGGTAATGAAAAACCGATTGCGACGAAATAGGGTCTGAGGACTGCTTGTGACATGCAATCGAATCTTTTATACCACAGTTATCTTCCTCTTCTTTCACTCTTTCCTCTCTCATTCTATCTATTTCTCACTTTTGCTAACTCTATTCCCTTTCCATCTCTTTTTCTTTATATCTTTCGATCTCTCTTGTATTTTTTCTATTCAACTTTTCATATTGCTACTTCAATAGTTCAATAGAAAATTTTGGATTTTTTTTAATAATGTGATATTGTGGGTAGCATATTGTATACATCAAATGATTTTAGTTTTCCACAGTTCCTAAAGTTTGATAAATTCTTTTTTCACTGATTTTCAATGCTTTCACTTTCTTTTTTATATATTATTTTCGTGAGTTTTTGATTATAACGTTCGTTAAAGTTTATAAAAGTTTTTCGTTTTATATCAATTAATTGTACTTGTACATAAACTTTTTGAAATATGAATTTGAAATACTTATTAAGTAATTGTATTCTCTAAAATCTTGTTTATATAATGAAAAATAAAGTGATTTTTAATTTTTTACTATATTTATAATTTTTTACTAACATTCGATAAAGAAATTATCATCTTATTATTATTTTACATGCTTTTCATATTATTGAAATATTTTAATGTTTATATTCACACATACACACGCGATCACGCATCAATAGTATTTATTATACTTTTTTATTTATTCCCGGTTTTCTTCACATTTCCAATTCACTTTTTCTTCATTAATCTACATTTTCTATCATATTTCATGTATAATCATGTATTTATTTAAAAAGATATTTTATTTTAGGTGAAACGTTGCTCGCTCATTGCTTACGGACTTATTCGCATTTGCCCTTCTAACCGCCATTACGTCGTTACAGATAATGAATATAACCAATCTAGTACCAATAAATATATATATTTTTTTTATTATTTTTCAAGTAGAAGCCGATTTAAATCTTTTTCATTCTATTAATTCAATTATTCATAATTTCACAAATAGATTTACAATTACTTACAAATAGATTTTTAAGTGAAATCCTTTTATCGATGAATCTCTATGCTTGGTTACGAAATATATTCTTTTGTTATAAATTTTTATTTTTTATTTATGAAAAACATACAAACTTTTTTTCCGTAATGACAGTTTCATGATTTTTTTATATTAGTTGGCACATTATTTACAAAAGAATTATTCTATCTGTTAAAAATTCTATGTATTTATAAAAGTTTGAAGATTTATGACGTTGTAATGACAGTATAATATCGTTTTAATCATTTTTTTCTAACGAATTTTTTCTAACGAATATAAGTAGACATTCAATGAATAATCTTTCTTCAAATATGTTATTTTATATTTATTTATAATGTATTTTTCTTAAAGTTGATCCATCATTGACATGGCATATTTACTATAATAAAAAATGTTTCTTTAAATGTTTGAATATGTTTTAATATCATTTGGATTTTGAAAATTTAATTTTAATGAAATCAGATTTTAGAAATTTCCTTATAAACTTGAAAAACTAAATTTTTAATGCTTCGCTTAAATCTGTAACGTCTTGGAACATATATGAAATTACGAAACGTGAATTGCATTTCATATTGTTATCTCACAAGCTTCGATGATCTTTATCATATAATCTTACCTGCTAATGTATCTTGTAATTTACATATTTCGGTACTTCATAATTCAGTATTTTCATATAGAATTACAAATATATTTAAATGAACATAATCATATGTAAAGTCCATGTGAATATTTAAGTATTCTTAACAACGTGCTACAGTTAATTTAACAATAACCGTAATTCAAATTTTGCAGTAAAACTTATATAAAATCCTGATAAAACATATTAAGTGCAAGACAATTGTTACATTTCTTCATTTATTATTATTATTATTATTATTATTATTATTATTATTGTTATTATTATTATTATAAAAATATTTATTTGAATCTGAGTATGATATGGCTTTTGGTATAAATAAAATTTTCATTAAATTATAAATATTATTTCTGTTTAATTAATTGTATACACATATTTTAAAATTATCACGCGCGCCCGTGCGCGCCCATACACACACTCATACACACATGTAACCATTATGTTGTTCAAACACTTTGTTTACTTTCAAACTTGATACAATATGTAATTTGGTTATTTTTGACATATGATTTATTAAGTGGAAAAGTACTTTCCCCGTAGTCATGTATTAATTGATTTTCTACGTCATTCTATTGTGTTTTAATCCATGTTTCTTCATGAACTTTGAATAATATTTTACTATGAAATACCTTGTCAATGCATCGACTGCTGTTCATCTTCATCATTGTTTCTAAATTTTGTTTGAAAGTTTTTTCACATATTTTGTTTCTTTCATATTGTTAATTGCGTTTATATAAATGTTACAAGTAAATATTGAAAAAAGTATTATAATAATATGTAATTTATTCTCTAGTTTATTTAACACAATTCTCGTCATAATCATTTCTATTAGACAATAAATGTAGTGAAATTTTAATTTTAATTTATGTAA